AAAATCAGTCCAATAAACACAATTTATGTATAAAAATGTGAAAAAAAAACAAATGGATGCTAAAAATTTGCTTTACATCATCAACAGAATTGAAATAAAAACAACCGACCAGTAAGATTAGACATAACAGATGGTGGAAAACAAATCTCCTTTTAGGGGGCAAATTCCTAAATTTAGTATTTTTATTATTATTATTATGACAAGAAGAGAAAACATGTTGTACAATAATATTCAAAAAAACGCATTTTGTAAATTTGACAAGAAAAAAATGCAATCCAGGAGTTAATTCATTAAATAGCTAAAGTAATTGAAATGAATGTAACTGTTTTCTCAGATTTTATTTAAAAAAAAAATTGAATTTTTTATTTATATTTTGTTTTCCTTTTTTTTTTTAAACAGATTTTATTGTTCTAATTTTATATTTTCAATGTTCTTTTCTTCATACCATATTTTGCATTTCAAATTTTTTTTTCTTAAAATTTCTGCAGGATTTCTTTTTTTTTGTTTCTCCAAATAGTTTAGCGGATGTTTGGGGGACAGTGATTCGCCTACATGTTCTGAATGCTGGCGTCGATAAAGAATAAATTATGAACAATTTAGTTTGTGCCTTCAACTCGTTGCCCAAAGGAAGACGTTACTTGGATATTACAAAACTGAATATCTTCGGAACAGCTACAAATGACACAAAACTAATATGGGTGAGTAGAACGTAAAATCAAGGGGCCAATGTAAAAAAAAATGTGTTTCCCTTTAAGTAGAAGTACAGATACTGCAGTTTAAAAACACTCTGGTAGTTGAAGTATCAACTTGACCGCTTTACTCAAGTAAAAGTGAAAAAGTATGTGCTCCAAAAACTACTTAAAGTATAAAGGTACAAAGTAACTTTTAAAAAAAAAACAGCCAGATGCCGCTATATGAACTGAAAGCTCAATTTTTCGACTATTTCTAAAAATCCTCTGAGATAGGGCCCAGGATGAGGGAGGTCTGGTTGGTCTCCGTCTCCCGATACGCTCTCGCCTGTGTCCGACCTTTCAGACATTTCAGCATCTTTTTCTGAATCCCACATTGTAGCATGGCATAGACAATTCACGTTAGCAGTTTGAAGAACACCTGCTGGCTTCTGATGATTTCCTTTGGCGTCAGCACAAATTTGACGAATAGCTAACCGATGAGTGTTTGCGTTCTATGACTCATCTAATTACACTAGTTTTCACTAGCTGTGGATGGCGCCAATGATCTGCATTGGATGACGCACGTGACGGGAATTAAATATTCATAAACATCAAACCGAAGCCAAGAGTAATGAGTAACATTTGTTTTAAAAATGTATGGAATAGAAAGTCCTGAATAATCATTTGGGTTATCCATTTCTACTGAACTTTGCTGAATGGAGTAATGAATGGCCACAAAGCAGTTTCAGCTCACGCCCCTGTGAGGGGTGTGGTACCACAGGCTAACTCAGAGCTAAACAAACGCTCCCTTTCTCAAGCTGTTGTCCTATTGGCTCAACAGGTTGCTAAGCAACGATCTGACTGCAGTCTGAGAGCGAGCAACAGATGCGCACTTCAAAAATTCAAAGTTGTTGTAAACATCCATGCAGACCAAAATAAATGCGTCTTTACTCCAGAGGAAAGCCCGCCCCCAGAAGCAACAATAGTGGAACAAAATTTACTCCATAGTTCTATAACCGTCTAAGACCTGATTATTAGTATCCTCTGATATTTCAGGTCAATATTCAACACTTGGTGCGTATTGATGATCTTTGCGAGCAGCTTTGTTAAAAACTCACATTTGTAACTTGAGAAAGTCGGATCCGTCACTGAATGGTCATGTGACCCAGAGCCCATTTTTTTGAGGCAGTCTAAACTGCCCATAAACAACCAGAGCGAGCTAAGATACAACCCTTACCTTATTCAGCAACGCCGTATGGGGGTGACAAGTTAGGAAGATTCAAAGGGCCCTTGACTGAGGGGGGGCCCAAGAGAAGAAAAAAACCCCTGATATTTTAAACACAAAAAGAAAATCCAGCAGTAAAATATATTATCCTTGTATTCTTTCTAATCGTTCAGCATTAAACAGCGAAAAAAGCAAAGATATAAATACAGTATCCTGGGTTTGTTGTCCAAGTAATACGGTGGAGCAAAGCCATTAAGATTTAAAAGCAAATAAATGGATTTTAAACTCAATTCAGTGAAGAGCAGCCAGAACATGAGTGATGTCTTCTCGCCTCTGTGATGCAATTAGAAGGCGAGCCGCTGCACTTCCATCCAGTAGGTGAGAGAAGGCAGCTTGTGTGACACGGTAGTACAGAACATTAGTATAATCAAGAAACGAAGGCGTCTGTGAAAAATCCTGTTTCAACAGAATAATCTTCACTTTGGTGATTTGTTGCTGCTTAAAGGAGTCATTCATAGTCCACTCCGAGGCTGCACCTAATAATGACGCGCTAAAAAAGAGAACTTCAAATTTCAGCTCCACTCTTTTGAACCAAATATTCATTCGATTAAATATCCTGATTATTTTAAGTCATTTGCAGTGTTGTTGCTGTTTTTATTTTTGGCAAAATGCAGGACAATGTCTTTTAGACTATCTACCATCAGAGTGCTTAAAAAAAGGCATAAATGTTTGGGGTTTTTTGTGGATGGTCTGCAAATAAAGAAAACGAGGAAAAAAGTGTGAGACTACCAAAAGATATTCATATTGATCACAGAAGTTGTCTTTAAAAAAACCTGCAAAGAAACTACTGTTAGGTTTATTCAATGATGAAACTGTCTCTCCTGCAGAAGCCGCATGAAAAAACCCTTACTGTGTATTTCAGTTCTTCATTCCTTCTACCTAACAACTACACAGAAACCTAAATGAAAAGATATTATTTTTAAAGTGTGAGCATCATGGTCTGGGCTGCACATGGAGTTCTGCTCCATGTTTGGATTTATATCGGTTCCCTCTCTTCTGTTTCTTAAAGCAGAGATGAGGAAGTTCTTCAAGTCTGCAGTTTAGAGATAAATTATTATCTTTATATTCGATAAATAATAATTATCATCAATAATAATTGTTTGAGTTTGAGCTGAATACCATGAGGAGGGTTTGCTATAGAATTGCCTCCGTCTCTGACATATAGAGTTCCTTTGTTTGCAGAAGGCGGACTTTCAGAGGCTGCTGCAGATAAATGAAGGTGTTTGCTGCAGAGTTCATTTCTGCTGATGAGGGGTTTTGTTTTCCAGTTTTAGAGTCAAACGATCAATGAAACGAGGCGGATGTGTTTTTCTTCCATCTTTCTTCTGCATGTGTGACTTTGTGAACAATGTTTAGGTTTTCCCCTGTAACACCTCCGTGTTGTGAATCCTGTGGTAGGAAGCAGATCAGAGGAAGCCAACCTTTTCAGATGAGTTTTATCAAACACCATCAGGACAGAGGATAGTGACTGTTCTGTGAACTTCTGAATTTTTTTTCTTCATAAAGCTTAAAGAAAGAAGCAGCCATGCTTAATGGCTGGGCTTCCAGTTGTGGAATTAATATGATCAATGTGAAGCTGAATCTGCTACTGCTTCTGAAATCTTAAACACTGTTTTAATCACCTGAATGAAATATCAGCAAGTGTGAGCTCCTCCGTAAGAGCAGGAGGTTCCAAACCGAGCTGCAACCATCAGTGTTTTAACATGCTAGTCCAGGAGGGGTAATGTTGCAAAGCCATCCTGCTTCTTTTCCTGAGACAGACACTATCTGCAAGCTTGAAAACAGTTTGATATTCCGGATTAACTGAAAGGAGTGGACGTCTCAGCAAATGTTTGGAGAAACCAAAACTAAATATCAACCACTGCCAAGCATGGTGGTGGGGGGCTGATGGCTTGGGCTTGTTGCAAGGAGCAAACTTTCTCCTTTCTGTGTAAAGGGACTGATAGACAGACAGAAAGCCGTTACTAATAACCACATACAGTATCATAGGGAGTACTTTGTTTAAATTTGGTAAATGATGGTGGTGTGGTATATGTTCCTGGTTTTTTAAATAGAGTTTTAAACTTTGGTTTTGATTTGGACCTTTATGCTAGAACTTGAAGGATCGAAAGTAATTCTGAAAATGTTAAAGCTCTAGATTCAACATAAGCTTAAGCACCAAGCATAAAAAAATCATGATTATACATCTTAAATACGGCACTGTCATGAACGGGACAGGTGGACCCAGTATTTGAGGTAAGACAGGCGTTATCCGTGTGACTCACTTACCCGGTTTAACAGTTCAGTTCATCCTCTCGGTTTAGGCAGGATCAACCAATGCACTGTCAACCAGATGCGGTGCTGAGCTGTCCATAGTGTCCCAATGAGGCAATCCCAGTGAGCAGGCAGGATCCGATCCAGGTCAGAGATACAGATCAGACAGAAACAGTTCTGATATCCTGGAGTCTGTAGCCTGATCAGGGGTTCCAGTCCGCACAGGAACAGAAAGGTTCAGGGTTCCAGGAACCCACAGAGCGTTCAGGCAGGTTCAGAGTTCTATGAGTCCAGAAGTTAGCTCAGACAGAAACGCACAGATGCAGACAGGCAGAATCCAGCAGGAGTACAAAGATGGTTCAGGCGAACAGATCAGACGGGGACAGACGGGCTCAGTGGTGAGAGGGAACAGAATCAGGAAATCAGAAACCACTAAGGAAATGCTGAAATGCTCTCACCACTGACCAGTGAATAAACTCGCCTGAAGACGAAGTCTCATGAATAATCTCCTCACTGGAACAGGGACATGAACCTTGGAAAGGAAACCAAAACTAATGAAACAAACATAACTAACATTAAATAGTAAACAATGAGCTGGCCCTGATAGCTGGGCTGAGCCATATATGAAGCAGAGGGAGCAGGTGAATAAGATGATTGATAATTAGAGACCAGGCAGAGTTAGGCAGGTGAGAGACATGAACAATTAAGGTCAGATATTAGGGCAGATCATGACAGGCTCAGCAGTAAAATTAGGGAAAAAACATAACATTTCTTCTTTTTCTGTGTCCCAGGTTTGTTGGCAGCTGTGAAGAAGACGCACTCTTGTAAGTTTATTTTTTTATAAAAAGATTTACACATATCATTTACAGCATTTAGTTTGTGACTTAATCTGAAGTTTACTTGGTTTATTTCACAATAGAATGATAATCAAAAACAGATATGTTAATCTTTCTCTGAATGGCTAAAAACAGGGACAGGTGAGTTTTGGAATGGCCTAGTCAGAGTCTACGCTTAGACAGGTTGGATTCTTCTCAGACTGGTTGAATCATAACTATTTTGCTAAGTTAGGAGAGTGACAAGTCATCCGAAGTGTTGCTGTCAATTACAAACCCTGGGAAGCAGCTGCTGGAGGCACAGATATGTTTAGGGAAAAACTCCTTTTCTACTAGACCTACTGTAGGGCGATATGGAGCACTTTCCCCCTAAAGATAAATAAAAATCCATTATTTGATTCCTGCATTTTGTATTAAAGTGAAATATACCGATTTTCAGACACTTTCCATTCATTCATATTTGAAAGGATAAGACCTAAAAGTTTTTTTAACTGGAATTTTGGTTGGTTTTATCAATGTGTTTTATGTTCAACTATAAAAGGGATGTTCATAATTGACACATAAATGCCCCAAAACATTTGTGATAGCAGGACTAATGAGAAAGTAAACACACCCTCTAGTTGTGCAGCAAACTGCAGTCAATCATTCTCTGTGGATGAGCTGTAGCCCTGCTGCTGCCCGTTTTTGCACACCTGCATTGTTTGATGATCAGGAAGTTTGAAAAAGGACTTCCATTTGCTCACATGTGCTTCATTTTTGCAGCCGAATGCCTGAGATCGTTGGAGAATTGCCTTGCATGCTTTCATTCAGGGCCCGCTGCAGTTGGTGATTTGAGTGACAGCACATTAGTCAGCAATGAGGCCAAGATGGCAGCCGCCTTTAAAAGACAGAAATTATAGAAAATGCAGTTTTATTTTTTTAGCTGCACATGTTGGAAAAATAATAGTAATATTATCTTCAGTTTGATGATTGGAAACATTTCAGTTACAAAAAAAGTAAAACTGGGGAAAATAATCCTTTTTGTGCTTCTGAACTGCAGTGACTGTTGAAAACAAGAACCAGATATAAAAGTTGAAATCAGTATCTGAGTTTATGTCCCATCCAGGGACATGCATTGATAGGCACCAGGTGGCGCTAGAGCACCTGCCTTTTTCCGCTCTGGACAAAAAAGTGCCCTCCTGAAATCGTTTTTCTTAGTCTTTGGCCTGAAATACCATTTCCAAATTTAAAAGCCTATAAAACTCAGGCTGTTTCTCACTTCACAAGAACATGAGTTCCCTCCCA